TAGACGACAATCCGCCGCCGCCGCCGCCGCCAGTCACAGCGACTGTGGTGGCGCCGCCGCCGGACGAGGACGACGAGGACTGGCTCTTGCTACGCGGGCGGAACTCTACGAGCTCCCGCAGCGCCTTCATGGCCTCCAGGATGGTCTCGTGGATGTTCTGCGCCACCACCGAGTCGTCGGCTTGCATCCAGAGCTCCCCGGGCCCCGTCGAGGCCGAGCGGCCGAGTTCCATGAAGAAAAAGCTGTCCGAGTGGCCGCATCGGCGGATGTTCATAAGCTGCAGCGTCACGCAGGGCCGATCGCAGTTGAGTCGCACTAGTCCGACCGTGCGCGCCGCCAGGCACAGGCGGTGCACGCCCGTGAGGTTGCGGCTCTGCCCGAGTCCCTTCGGCTTCAGCGTCACCTGCCACACCTCGCGGTAGGCGGCGGACGAAGGGGGCCTGCAGCCCGGTTGCCCGTAGCTGAAGTCCTCGCAGGAGGCCAGCTGTGACGGATGCCGAGGAGAGCCCTGCGCCGCGGCCTGGCTCTCGCGGAGCAGCTCCGTGATCGCTTGGTACCAGGCCTCCTGCTCCGACTCGCTTTCAGCCGCCAAGGCGAAGTACTCGTCGCGCGTGTAGAGGGCGATGAGGTGCTTGTGCTTGGCGTCGGCTCGCTTGTGGATGTTGAGGCAGGCGTCGAGGGCGATAGTCCGCTTGGGTGCCGTCGACTTACTCCGCCACTTCTTCTCGCTCTCATAGTACTCCAGTCGTGCGGGCTGCTGCGGCGACGCCTCCTCCCCCGCTGCCGCCCCGCCAGTGGGGGCGCGAAGCACGAAGAAGCGCTTGTGGCCATGCTTCTGCTTGCGAAGGTAGCCGCACTTGCGCACGCCCGGCGGCGGCTGCTGCTGCTCCTGTTGTTGTTGCTGGTTGTTGTTGTTGTTGTTGAGGTTGGGGCCAGCCGAGGAGCTACTGGGCGACTCCGGCACGGGGGAGGTCGCCATCCCCCAGGATGGGACGGTACTCCAAGGAGGGCGAGCCCAGAGCTTCCGCGGCGCGCGGCACCTGTCCCTGGTACCTTCTGGGTCTGCTCTCACCGTCAGCTCGCGCTCCTTCGTCTCGGTCCGCCCGGGGCTACTGCGCAAGCTCCTTCAGTTTCAGCACCACGGACGCAGCGAGTTACTCCTCGCACTTGGCTCGTCCCCGCGAAGAGCAAAACAACACGTGAACTGCCGGTTACCCAGCAGTTACCCAGACGCTCACGCACACGAAGGGATGGGGTTGCGCGGAGATGCCGCCTCTGGCCTTTCATCTCACCGCGCTCCACATTGGGTGCCATGCCGCGTAAAAGGCAGCTTGCTCCGCCAATGGCGTGGAAGAGAGAAGCTCCCCCCTCAAGGCCTCTAGGGTATTATTGGATTGGAGGCTGGCGCCTTTTCCATCCCCCGCCTCCAAATTTGGGGCGCAGGCCGGGTAAAAGGCAGCTTTGTCCGGCAATGGCGTGGAAGAGAGAAGCTCCCCCCTCAAGGCCTCTAGGGTATTATTGGATTGGAGGCTGGCGTCTTTTTCATGCCCCGCCTATCCGTCCCGCCTGTTTCCTTCCCTACCTGTCTCCCTGCGACAGTGTTTCCTTGCGGAGCACCTCCTGCGCAATGAGCTGCGACTCTCTGGCCTCAGGCAGCTGCCTTGATGGTCCCAGCTCCGAGGGCGCCCCGAAACCCTGAGCTCGAGTTTATTTATTCTAGCACAGTTCTAGCTAGAGCTGTAGGTAATTATTTGTGTTCGCGGGGCGCGCGCATACGTACTAGAGTTCATCGTGAATTACAGCATCACGTGATAGCTCTCCTAAG